TTTATCGACAATCACTTCAAAGGTTTTTAAGGAATATTTTGCCACAAAAAAGGTTCAAAAATGTTGAACCGCACTTACGACAGCTCGAAGTTTCCCAGGCTTAAAATAACTTGAGAACAAATAATCTAAAGTCTCCAGCGATTGTCACGAGCTGAAAAATACCAATTAAAACGCTTTTAAGGACAAAGAAATGAACTAATCCGCCCGCAACTATTATTCAGGAAATTAGAGAGCTTCCTACCAAAAACTCAAATTTCGAAACTCATGCCCGCGAACCAGGTCAATGTTTGTTTGTTTTTTGTAGTTGCAAATTTATTAATATCCGCGAGTAACTGCGAAGTACATGAATTAATAACTGAATTTCGAAACTATATAACGTAGGACAAAATAGTTCCCTTTGAATACATTTCAGAATAGTTTTTATCTTTCCTTGTCCAAGCGGATTCTGAATGCGTTTGAGTACCTCAGATCCAAGTTTGTGGAAATTGGCGCAAGCAACTATTTGCGCATAGCGACAATGCTCGGTTGCGTTTTATGAATTGAAGGCGAAATCCGCCTTCGTCAATGAGTGCGGTTCGTCCCTTTGCACTAATTCCATTCTGCATCGCTCATATTCATCGAAGCGTTATTGTTTAGCAACTGTTTCACGCAGCTAGTATTTCCCTCGCCCAAGTAGCAGTGATCGCGATAAGTTGCGATTTGATCAGAAAATGTATCTCGATTTTACGGACGTTGCTTTATTGCAATATTATTGGATAAAAAATTGCGATGTATTCACTTAAATTTGCAATAAAATCGCGATTTTATCGACGGCGATCCATCGCAATATTAGTGAACAAAAAATCATGATAAATTGAGAAAGAACTTCGATTGTATTAAACGCGATAATCGCGCAGATGTTCGATGATTTGTCGGTTTTATCGCCAAAGAATCGTCAAAAATCGCAACTTGATTTTTAAAATCGCGATTTTCCGTTGCAAAACGCTACTCGGGCAGTTCAACAAGAAACTGTCAAAAGAAACGGATTTCTCTGTCGTAAATAACCGGAAATTTCCTCCGTGACACAGTTGCAACAATATCGGAGAAAACGAAAATGGGGAAACTCTCTTTACAGACGTCCCTCTTATCTTGCTCACAAAAATGGCCCTCGCTATAAAGCGTGGGATCCTGACTATTCCGCTAATTTAAGAGCTATCATGAAGACTTAGGGGACACCCCCCCCCCCCTTCCTCCACGTCAGAGCTTAAGACTTACGACGGAGGAGGCCTAATGGTGCCTCGCACTGTAACAAGCCTTCGCATCCAAACGAGTCTTTAAGAGTTGCACTTTTCATTCTTGAGGGCGGACTCATTAAGCGCGGAAAAGCCGTCACGAAATGAATTTTACTACCCTCCACAATCTCCCAAGGAAAAACGGCGTATGAACATTCAGACATTGCAAAATTTCCCCGAAGGATATATATATTTTTGAGAAAGGTTATGAATATCTGCACTTGGAATTTCTAAGTTTACTAGACAAAATTGCGGAGAAGATCCTTTGAGAGATTGAAGAGAAAATAGTCTGAACCTTTTCAGAAAACTCGTGTCTTATAGGGAGAAATTTGGCATCGCCCGAATGATGATACGGGGTTTTTACTTCGGAAAACAGAACGGCCCACTCGGCGTTTCCCGATAAGAACTTGTCTCCGGAGTTGTGACAGTTTCGTTCATCCTCTTCGCCGCCGCGCGCTGTTCGCAATCCTGGGAACGTACCTAGGCGGGTGATTTATTTAGACTAGAATGGCACAAGTTACTCTTCTCGGCTTTGGCGTTCTTTTCTCTCTTCTTTACCATCTTTTGCCTTTCCTCCTTTTCCTTTTCCATCTCCTTTTCCTCTGCCTTTTTCGTGTCTCTTTCCTCCTCTCATAAATCTCCAACTCCTCTATTTCTCAACATGTTCCCATCTTATACCCAACTCCTAGAATGCCAGGTTGTGCCATTTAATTCAGAAATTATTTATAGGATTAAATGGAGAAGTGTGCTGATTTTTCAGCATAATCTGGTTACAAGGCCCTGCACCATCTACTTCCGCCCTTCCTTTTTTCCATAGTTCAATAAGTATAAACGTCGAGTAGGATTTCATGTGTATGACGTTTAGCAGGAAGGAACCAAGCCACATCAGATATTGCCAAATTTAAGTGGAGAATTTAGTTTTTTACAAGAGAGCAGTTGGGTGGATTCCCTCAACAATTTTAAAGAATTTGCTTCGTGCTATGCAAAAAGTAATATACTGAAATTCACACAGAAATCCGCACAACCGTTTTCATGAAGAAAATTAAATTACCCAATACTTAGCAATAGCTGATGTGGCTTGGTTCTTTTCTGCTGAACGCGGTCCATTTGGAAGTATTTAAATCAAAAGGAACTATATCCATTGTGAAATGAGACCTGAAATCCATAAGAATACATGTATGGTAGGGCTCATGCCAGAATAGATGTATTTCCTTTTGATTTAAATGTGTCCATTTGTGATATTCATCGTCGAGTTTGATGTTCCACGATATTGCTCGAAATGTCCGGCGTCAAAACTCCGGAGGCAGACGGAAAAACCACGAAGCCTACGGAAATTAGTAGACTGTAGGAGAAATTAAGTTCATCTACCCCTATGTTAGACGATACTGCCAGAATTTTTCTACGTAGTACCTCACTAAGTACCTTAGTGAATTGCAAATCCTTCACACATGCAAGAGCTGTAATCTTGACCAGCTCATTCCCTGATTTCCCCGAGTCCATTTCCTGATGAGGAACCGAATTTTCCTCCGGATTTTCTTGCAAAAATCTATATATTTTTCCGCAGTTCCAGCTGTGAATACCGACTTTGGCTGACGTAACCTCAAGAGCTTTTTTTTAGTTTTGGAGTTTGTTTTGGAGGAGACCGGTGACACCATCGTGTTTCTCGCGAAATTTTATATTTAAATCAGTACTGAGATCGCAAATTCCTGAAAAACGAAAGAGTTCAAGTAGACACTATGACACTATGTTGCAAGTTACAACAAAACTAGACACTATGTTGTAAGTTACAACACAACTAGACACTATGTTGTATGTTACAACATAGTGACACTTGTAACTCTTTTTCGCCTCTATCCCTCAGTTTTTTCGCCCTTTATCCTTCCCTCCATTTCAGTGTGCACCACCTTTGAGATTTCCTCCTTCTCCTCCTCCCTCTCACCCACTCGAACGTAGATAGCCTCCTATCACGTAGATACGTCCATTTGGCGGAGTCTGGAACTCCCGCACGGGGCGAAACTCCATTCTCGCGTGAGGGCGCGGCGCGTGGCTGTGGATTTTCCGGGCAGCGGTTCAAGAATGCGCGGCGCGGCGCACGGTGATCGAGTCAATAAGAGAGGTCGGACAAAATTTGGAAACACGCTTAAAACGCTTGTAACTCCGTTTAGCAAAACTTCAAGGTTTTAAAGTTGGTGCCATCGGTTTTTTCGGGAAATTGTCTTCCTATACCCCCTCTTGAAATGTAAAATATGACGAAATAAACATCACAATGTGCAAAAATTTCATGTCCAACCTCTCCGATTGACACGCACTGGGGGGAAAAAAAACACATTGGATCCAGAGTCTAGACTCTTAAAAATATCGACAAGAACAACAGGCTCATTATCGATATTTCCCCATTTGAAGCTCCGGTAAAGAATCGATTATTAAGGTGTTCGTTGCGAACACCCTGTTTATAGATCCATTTCCATAGATGCAAGTGGCAGATCGATCGATACAGCAATCACTGGGAAAAAACACATTGGATCTAGAGTCCAGACTCTTAAAAATATCGACAAGAAAAAATACTCTTGATTCAATCAGATTTAAGCTTCACTCAAGAACCAAGCCTCTTAATTTGAGTGGATTTCCTTTTGATTTAAGCTTAAATCTGATTGAATCAAGAGTCCTTTGTCTTGTTAATGTTTTCAAGAGTCTGGACTCTAGATCCAATGTGTTTTTTTTTTCCAGTGCGATCCACTGTGCGGTGCGGCCGGTGTCGGTGTTATTATTAACCCGGGACGACCGGAGTGGCGGGGCCCGGGGGGTCGGCNCCCCCCTCTCCCCCATGCTAAGATGGCGCTACGTCACGCAGCTCCGGCGTGACGTGCGTGAGAAAAAGTAAACAAACCTCTGTTCACATCTCAATCCGGCAGCCGACTTTACTCGATTGAGTTTTTGTTTCGCCCGTCCCCGATTGCACCGCGTTAAGCAGGAAGGAAGCAAGCCTCATCAGCTATTGCCATGTTTAATCGGGCAGTTTAATTTTTTGCATGGAAACTGTCGGGTGTTTAGGAAGGATGGAAAGGAAAGGATGTTTGGGCAAATTTTCAGTGCTGCCATTTTATTTTAATGTAAATTCCGAGGTTCCTGGAATTTATTCCAATTTCTCCCGAGAAAAATTCCAATTTTTCGAAAGTTCCGAGAGGAAAATTCCAAAAAAGGCAAAATTTGCCCGGACTTAAGATTGTCTAATTTTATCAAAAAAATCCTCAAATTTAATCAAATAATAGGTCAAAGTGACGGAAAACAAACTCCGAAAAATTCCGAAAACAGCTGAAACTTCCGGTAATTTTGAGATTCTAGGAAAAGTAGAAGTTCTAGAAAAAGTTCCGATCATTTGAAAACTTCCAAAATTTGGATTGAACTCCGGGAAATAGCAGCTCTCCAATTAGTGAATTCCTTGCATAGGACGCCGCAAATTCCAAATTGTCACCTAGAAAAGAAGACATTTGAAAGGAGAAAAATGACAAAAAGAGATAATATGAGTTGAGTAGAGATAATAGGAAAAATGAGTCAAGGAGAAGATCAAGAAGAGTTTACTAAGGACGAAGGGAAGTATCGCAGTGAAAATGGTGCTTAACTTTTAAAATTGTCGGAGCAGATTTTAGGGGCAACCTGAATTTCTAGTTTAAGTCACAACGCTAATCTTATGGAATGAGTTATTTCATCATCAATTGTGTGTGTTTTCAGTATTTAGGAACGATAGTGCGTTGTTACATCTGCGAGAGATAATTAAAGGTAAACAAATGACTGATTTTTTGCGTGCCGTGGAGTGGCGTTGCGTGGCGTGGTCTTTCACTCAATCATTCATTCACTCATTCAACCAACCATTCATTCATTTATTCATTCATTCATTCATTAAGTTCTGGGACCTTTAAGCATAATGGAGATGTTGCATGTGTGAGGAATTTGCGATTTGATTGTTGATTCTTAGGTAAAAGTTCGTGAGAAACACGATGGTGCCACTGGTTTTCTCTGAAATCAACTCCCAAGCTCAAAAAAAGCTCTCAAGTTGAGGCCAAAATGGAGGGGATATCCCACCCTACCCTGAGAGTCCACCTCTACATCAAGACAAACTCACCATACAAAGATAGGGAGCAAATACATTGACAGGGCTGCCACTTTATTTGGGGACTCCAAAACTGTAAACATGGCAACCCTGCCAATGTATTTGCTCCCTATCTTTGCATGGAGAGTTTGTCTTGATGTAGAGATGGACTCTCAGGGTAGGGTGGGATATCCCCTCCATTTTGGCCTCAACTTGAGAGCTTTTTTTGAGCTTGGGAGTTGATTTCAGAGAAAACCAGCGGCACCATCGTGTTTCTCACGAACTTTTACCTAAGAATCAACAATCAAATCGCAAATTCCTCACACATGCAACATCTCCATTAAACAGAATGCTCCGAATCGAAATGCAAGTACACCAGGAACTAACTTATCATATTAAAATGACTATTCTTTACTCCATTCTTTGTTAGGAATTATACTGATTATTCTGTGGATTTCCAGAGTTGGATCCAGCATTTTGGCAACACTGGCAATCCTCCATTCAAACGTATGTCAATAGGCCGATTCTTGTCGGAGTACCTGGCCCCTCCAAGAATCGATATATTGCCATAGATTTAAATGGAGAAAAACAGTGTTGTCATATTGGTGGATCTGCCAATGTGGATTCCTGACAAAAATTCAGACAATTGTAACAAAACAATTAAATTTTTTCTCAAAACAATTCGTAAAAAAACATGATGTAGAGAGTCATTCATTTGTCTAGGTAATGAAGGAATATCCGCTTTTCGATTCGGGACACCCTGCACTATCATTCATTCATTCATTCATCCGTTTATTCATCTATTAGTCCATCATTCTTTTTTTTTTTATTTTTTTAACTCGCAGTGGTGGTTTTTGTAAGTTGGCAGCATTGTTTTCCTCCCTGTAATGAATTATAAGTAATCGATCCTGTGTGAGGCAGCCTGTCTTGAAAAACAAAAATTATTTTACATAAGACGCATCCAAGCGAGCGGGAATCGGAAGTTGCCTACTTACGAGAATCACACTGTTAACTCACATGTAATTTTCTCTCGCTTCGTCTTGATTGCCGTAACAAAATCGTCGGGGGTCTGTAATTCCCTGAATTGGTCGAAGCATGAGGTTCATCTTAACAAAGGGTTTCTCTTGGTCCGTTTCTGCACCCAAGCATGATTGAATTGGTGGCATGTTGGTTCACAGACAGGATCTCTTCCCATCTAGAAAACCGAGACTTATCAGGGCACTCTTTTGGCATCAGAGAAACTTTGGAAAAACGTATTGGAATCAACGAAAAAGGAGGGGTATCGATTAGAGCCTTCCCCCCCCTCCTCCATTTAGAATCTGGAAATGTATGCGTGTTTTCCAAGTTGACTCAATGTAGTTTACGTAAATAAACATGATTTGGTCCATAGGCCACCGGATACGCATTAAACGGTTCACTGGAAAAAAAAAACACATCAGATCTAGAGTCCAGACTCTTTAAAACATTGACAAGAAAAAATACTCTTGATTCAATCGAATTTTTGCTTGAATCAAAACGAAATCCGCTTAAATTAAGAGGCCCGGTTCTTGATTTAAGCTAGATTCTGATGGAATCAAGAGTACTTTTTCTTGTCGATGTTTTTAAGAGTCTGGACTCTAGATCTAGATCTAATGTGTTTTTTTTCCAGTGTTGGCCTGAACATAGGCCTGTAGGCGCATTTTAACTAAAAATGCGTGTTTTTCTATTACTCCTAGGCTTTTTTTGACACCATCGTCTAACTAAGCAAACTTTTGATATGTTATCAAGGAGGCTTCAGGACACGTTTTAACCCTGGTTTGGTTTTAGTTAGATGATGTGCCCTAGGGGGCCAAAAAAGGCCCTTGTCGATACCCCTCCTTTGTTGGTCGTATACATTCTCTAAAGTACAGCAATAAATACATTTTCGGATGAAGTCTATGAAACTCACGCGCTTAATGCTGAAATATAATAATCTCGAAAAGACTACATCAGACTTAAAAGTTTTATGTTGACCTAGATAGCCGATCTCTTATTCGTTGGCATTATCTCCTCGATACCGCGCATTTCTCTGAACTTTATGAAAGGAGCTCAACCGATCAATACGACTTAACGACTAAGTAAAATTCTGACG